AGGTGTACGTGGCTGGCGCCTTAGCCGGTTGAGCCACAGGCGCCGAGCCCAGGTCTCTTTTCCTATGGAAATACCTCATCTCCTAGACTAGAAAAGTAACAGTTGAGTTTAAAATACTTTTGGAGTAAACATATGTGCATTTATGTTCTTTTTCACTCATGTGAGCTGGAGTTTAACACATTGAAATGAAAGGTACAACCTACCTGTAATTACAATTCCATACCACCACCATGTGCATTCTGTGCTGCTTTTATTTTATGAAAAAGCTAATTGCAAATCTACATTAAACTAAGTTGAATACAAAGTCTTAGTGGAGAAGGCCTGGTTGGTCTTGTTTATAAAAACATGGCCAGTGTTGTCTGTGGCCTCAAAATTTCAGGAAGGGCACTTCGAAAGGCTTCGTGTTTGCATGTTTCAGCGCCAGAGCGTAGGAATAGACTCTGGCATCCACTGTGAGATGCTCTTCAGCTACCAGAGCTGCAGGAAGCAAAGAACACAACACAGATAATGCAGTCAATGGAAGACGACACGACTTAGCATTCAGTGTTTACTGAGCGACTAATATACGCCAGACTCTACTGCAGATACAGCTGACACATTTTCTGCTTGAAAGGATCTTTAAGGAAGAACAAAGGCCTTTCCTTAGGATTATATCCCAAGAATGGGACAAGAACATTAGAGATAATGACCTTTTGTGTTTTAACACAGGAAAGCTATACGTTTACACATCTGATTTTTATACTTCCTTTATATAATAGCTCAGGTGAGGCTTTGCTACTCACTATACAGTGGCTATACTATCTTACTGAGGGACTCAGGTGTCTTTCTCACTGCTGGGAGCACATTGTTCCCCTACAAGTTGGGGCATGTTAGGGCGGGAGGTAACCTACCAAGAATGGAGGCCCCAGCATCCTAATTACCACGCGTTTTCCTAAGAACTATTTCCGATGGAGGTTGTCAGACTTTTAGTGTGGGACATTAGGAACAAGTTCAGAGACATTTTCACCTTTGAAGGCGGGATTATGTCCTATTCATCTGGACATGGAAGGTGCTTGGTAAGTGTTGAATGAATGCTATTTTTTGTGGCAAACTGGTCTTAAAGCACCTTCTTTACAACTTCTCAAATGTTACTTGAATAAATGGTGTGATTATTTTGATAAAGCTAGGTAAGTCTGGCTCTTTTATCTCTTGCTCTTTATACAGATAAGTCTGTTCTCCCTTCCCTCTCTTGCTCTCTCTTTTTTTTTTTTTTTTTAGACAGAGTCTTACTATGTTGCCCTGAGTAGAGTGCTGTGGCGTCACAGCTCACAGCCACCTCTAACTCTTGGGCTTAAGCGATTCTCTTGCCTCAGCCTTCCAAGTAGCTGAGACTATAGGTGCCCACCACAACGCCTGGCTAACTTTTTTGTTGCAGTGTCATTTTTGATTAGCAGGCCTGGGCTGGGTTCGAACTGGCTTGCCTTGGTGTATATGGCCAGTGGCCTAACCACTGAGCACAGGCGCTGCCTTTTGCTTTATTTTTTTCTCCCTCTTTTAAGAACAAAAGGGAAGTTAGGGAGAAAGAAAGCATTTGTTAAAGAGGATACTCTTCTAATTAAAAAAAGTAAAAACACGGCACATAATATTTAAACACTCACATGCCAAGTGCTTTGCCTACATGATCCCATTTCTACACATCCCTCTGAGGGAGGGGCTACTGCTGTTCCTCTTCTTTTTTCGAGATAGAGCCTCAAGCTGTCCCCCTGGGTAGAGTGCCGTGGCATTACAGCTCACAGCAACCTCCAACTCCTGGGCTCAAGCGAGTCTCCTGCCTCTGCCTCCCAAGTAGCTGGGACCACAGGTGCCCGCCACAACGCCCGGCTATTTTTTGGTTGCAGCCGTCATTGTTGTTTTGGGGGGTCCGGGCTGGGGATTCGAACCCGCCACCTTAGGTGTACGTGGCTGGCGCCTTAGCCGGTTGAGCTATAGGCGCTGAGCCTGCTGTTCCTCTTTCATGAGAAAAACCCTGAAGAGCCCAGGGACCCTGTTGGAAGTGAGGCTGTCAGACTCTCCTGTACCTCTTCAGTATGATTACTTCTGACGCTGGCTTTAAGACCTTGAGGTGCTTTTTACACCTTAGGTATAATTTTCAAAGGTAAAGGAGGAAGGCCAGGTATCTAGGCATCTGAAACCCCAGCAGCTTTGAAAGATCCACTGGATTTTTCGAGCAAATAACAGACATTTTAAAATAAAGTGCTCCAGTGATGAAGTGAAAGTGTAAGCCACTGGTACTCGTGGAAGGGCATCAAAGACTTCTCAAAGCTTCAGGTCAAATTTTGAAATAATTATTTAAAAACAGAAAATCTAGTATCAGTTATCTGAAATATAACCAATGAAATATTCAGATTATGAGAAGTGTTTGCTGTTTTACAAAGGAGCGGATGGGATCCGCCCAGCTCACACGGAGGCTCCCTGAAGGGCCCACATCCTGTCATGGGTGTAGTATGTCTCCATGGAGTTGTTATCACCCAGGACCTCTCTCCCTATTATAATCTTACTTAGTTTTTACAAAATGCCTGTGAGATAGGCCGGCCAAGAAGCACACCATATAACTGATGTCCAGTGATTTACTAGGGGTCACACAGCTCCTTTGGCTTGTTAGGCCAGCACAGCAGGTACAGAGCAGACATCTCAACTATTTGTTGAAGGAATGTTGTGAAACTCTAACTTAGCACCCTTCACAAAGGACCATCTGACATACTAGCATACTCAAGGAAAAGCTAGGACAGTGGTTCTCAACCTTCCTAATGCCGTGACCCTTCAGTACAGTTCCTGTGGGTTGCAACTCACAGTTGAGAACCGCTGAGCTAGGAGATAGTTACCTACACCTTTGCAATGCTATGGACTAAAGATTATGTTATAGACAAGTTCTACTAGAACTTGACCATTCTGTAGGAAAAAAGCCTCAAAAAAACTTTCACTTGACATAGAATGTTTTGCTCATATTTTCAAACTCTCTGCTACCCAGAATGGAAAATTAGTATTGGTCAACTCCAGTTTCTAGGTATTTAACTTTAATGATCTGTAGAGGACAGAGAAATGGAGTTGTATTTAATGTCCCATGTACTGGGGATGGGCACAGGGAAAAACAGGGAGCTGGATAACAATAATAGGAATGCTTACCATCAATTCTCTTCAGCAGGTCATTCTTTGGTAAAGAAATTACTTCCACAAATTCTAAACAAAAAAGTACATATGAAAACAAAGCCAAAGAGCCTGCCAAAGACCTGTCAAAACAACCCGAAATGTCTGTAGCCATTACCACTATCCCAAGCCACACAGCCGGTCACCGCGGGGAGCTGAATAACATACCTCCATCCCCTGAAAATAAACAGAAGGACAGCACTTGAGCAAGGCCCAGAGTGGTGTACGCTGGAAGACTTCTATGCCAGACAGAAACCTGGATCTCTGCCGCCTTAACTTACATACATAGTAACACAAATTCAACATAGCAGTTATTATTCTCCAAATCACATTTAGCACCAAAATTTAAAGCATTTTCTATAATATGTATATATCCTTTTGACATTTATGTATGATATTGTGGTAAAATATGTACAATATACAAAAAATTTACCATTTTAACCATTTCTAGGGGTACAGTTCAGTAGAATTATATAACATTCACAGTATTATGCAATCACCACTACCCACCTCCAGAACTTTTTTATCATCCTAAAGATGTTGATGCTTCATCTGTTCACAGACACTTAGGTTGGTTCCACCTTTGGCTACTGTCAGTGGTGCTACTATGAATGTGAGTGTACAAGGATTTTTTTTTTTGGAGACAGAGCCTCAAGCTGTCCCCCTGGGTAGAGTGCTGTGACATCACAGCTCACAGCAACCTCCAACTACTGGGCTCAAGTGAGTCTCCTGCCTCTGCCTCCCAAGTAGCTGGGACCACAGGCACCCACCATAACACCTGGGTATTTTTTGGTTGCAGCCGTCATTATTGTTTGGCAGGCCTGGGCTAGATTCAAACCTGCCACCTTAGGTGTATGTGCCTGGTGCCTTAGCCACTTGAGCCACAGGCGCCGAGCTGGATTTTTTTTTTTTTTTTTTTTTAAGACATGGTCTTGCTCTGTCTTCCAGGCTGAAGTACAGTGGCACAATCATGGCCCACAGTAGCCTCAAACTCCTGGGCTCAAGTGATCCTCCTGCCTCAGCTGTCTCAAGTAGTTGGGGCTACAAGTGTGTGCCTGGCTAATTTTCCCAACAGGATCTTGCTACGTTGCCCAGGGTAGTGCTTTCAGTTTTTTTGAGTAGATGCTCAGGAGTGGAAATACTAGATCCTATAATAATTCTATATTTAACTTTTTGAGAAACTGCCAAACTTTTCTGCAGTGAGTCATACGTATACCTGCAATTCAAAAATTAAGCACTTAAGATTAGCTGCAGGGGGATACAGAGACACAGACACGAACTAAAGAGGGTGAGAATGAATCCCTCCTACATGATTTACTGTACTGTTGTATATATAAATACCCCCTTTAAGGGGTGGGGACGGACATGGAATTGACAGAGGCATTACAGTTTTTAAATCTGAACTTACAAAGAAATATTATAGAGCAAAGAATTTCCTAAGTCCTTCTCTAAATACAGAAATCAGTAAGGGATAGTGAGTAAGGTGCTGCCCACAACAATTACACCATCCTGACAATACACACAGACAAAGCAACAGGGCGATTCTGAAGCTTCTCACTGTCTACAGGTCTCTAGTTTGTATTAGTAAGTGGGAATAAACTTTGTGCAGAAAATATGGAAATACATTAATTTATCATTTTATATAAGGAAAGCAGAAATATCAAGTGGTAAAAGAAAAATGTCAAAACACACAAGACTAGGAAAATAGACAAAAGTATCGGTAAAGTCTCTATAAGACTATGGTTCTTTCCATGAAAGACTATCATCCTTTGAACAAATCAAAAATCAAAGTAGTACACAGTGTACCCCATGACTGCATTAATGTACACAGCTATGATTTAATAAAAAAATAAATCAAAGTAGTAGCAAGTGAAAAGATATTTAATGCAACTCTCCAACTTAAACACAGCCTACACAAGCTCACCTGGCTTTGGCTTGGGTCGCACATTTTCTGCGTCATCTCCATTAATGGTTACTGTCACGATGTGGGTGGTACAGTTTGACAAACCGGGGTCCATACAGACAGCTGTGGGGGGAAGCAGTAGACCATCTTAAAGACAGCAGTCATAGGCTCGGCACCCGTAGTTCAGCAGTTGTGTCGGCCACATATACCAAGGCTGGAGGGTTCAAACCCAGCCCGGGCCACCTAAACAACAATGACAACTGCAACAAAAAAATAGCCAGGCATTGTGGCGGGCGCCTGTAGTCCCAGCTACTCGGGAAGCTGAGGGAAGAGAATCTCTTGAACCAAAGAGTTTGAGGTTGCTATGAGCTGTGACACCATAGCACCACTCTACCCAGGGCAACAAAGTGAGACTCCTGTCTCAAAAAAAAGAAAAAAGACTGCAGTCACAGGTTTCAGTCGCTTTGGTCATTTGCCTCACTACTTGAATGCCTTAGGAGGAAGAAAGGGTTCGTGATTTACAGTCACATAGAACTGATGCAGGAAAGTACAGTTATCATATTCAGTCAGTATACGCCATAGGGCTGCAAAGCATTGATGTGTAAATAAATACTCGTATTTTTCTTTTTTTCTGAGATAGAGTCTCACTACATCACCCTGGGTAGAGTGCTACGGCATCAGAGCTCACAGCAACCTCAAACTCTTGGACTCGAGTGATTCTCTTGGCTCAGCTTCCCAAGGAGCTGGGACTACAGGTGCTTGCCACAATGCCCAGCTATTTTTGGTTGCAGTTGTCATTATCGTTTAGCAGGCCCGGGCCAGGTTTAAACCCACCAGCCCTGTATGGTGGCCAGCACCCTACCTACTGAGCTACAGGTGCCGAGCCAATACTCAGACTTTTCCCAGAGTTTCTGCTTCAAGTTTGGTAAGCCTGAAGTGTTAGATGTGGTACTGTTAAGTCATAAAATCCTTTCACCACGTCAAGGAAAAAATCATCTTGTGAGGAACACAGCACATGGATGAGGTGGGTAAATGATAGCGCTTGGGGTGCGGGAAATTTCCTGACTCCTCCCCAGCTTTAGGTCCTTCTCCCTCCAACTTACCTATGGGGAGGAGAGATTTGTTCACAGATGGTGACCAGTCCTAATCTAGGATTTCTCTTCAGTGAACTGGCCGAATAAAAGCCATGTGAATTCTAACCAGGAAGGACACCCAAAGAATCCCTCCCTTCAGACCTGGATAAATCTATTGTGTGGTGACTTTTCAAGAGTCTGTCCTTAGGTGCACAGCTGGGGAGTGACACCAACCTGGAGAACATTCAGCAACGTCACCTTTGTAGCCAGTTTCCTCCTCCAGCTCTCGGAGAGCAGCTGCTTCTGGGCTTTCGTCATCATCTATGAGACCTGGAAGTCCAAACTCTTTGTAAGACGGGGCAGGGAACCTCTCATCCTTCTAACATAGTTGCTGCTGAGCTATGTTAGAAGAATTCAGAGCACAGTGAGAAGTATATATTCTTATAGATAAAACTGCTGAGGCTTGGGACTTTTTTTTAAGAGACAAGAGTCTCACTTTATCGCTCTTGGTAGACTGCTGTGGTGTCACAGCTCATAGCAACCTCCAACTCCTGGAGGAATCGCTTAGGCGATCCGCTTAGCCTCCCAAGTAGCTGAGACTACAGGCGCCTGCTACAATGCCTGGGTATTTTTTTTTTTTTTGGGTTGGAATTTGGCTGGGGCTGGGTTTGAACCCGCCACCTGAGGCTTGGGTGGTTAAGTGGGTTCTGATAGGCACCGTGTGTTCCTCTTGTTTAGAGCCAGGGTTTTCGTCAACCATCTCGATGCTGTTGTGTACAGTGTGGATGGCATCTAGGAGGACAAGTGATGCCCTGGTGGCTCTCTGGCTTAGATGTGTAGCTGGTTTGACTCCAGCACAGAACCTTATACATTTTTTGTTTTCTTATAGATAAGATGGTGACAGTATCACCTATCTTGTCTTCCTCCCTCACTGAAAAATAGGCCCTGTAGGGAAATGCCAGAAAGGAACAGAGTAAAGGCGGGGGGGACTTTGGTGACTGTGGGCTCACTCTGAGAAAATAAGGGGAGGCCAAGTGCAGGAGGCAGGCAGCAACTCAGACTCTTTTTCCTGAAAGGAGTTAAAAAAAAGTAAAGGAAAAATGAAATTCAGGCTATTTTCTCTTAATGTTATTAATTTCTTCTGTAAAATGGTAAGTAAATGAGACAGAAAATAATTAACTGTGTGTTGTCATAAACTGAGTTGTCAAAATACAAAGTAACACCACTAATGACAAATGAGAGTTAATCACTTCAGATGGGAACAATCCAATAAAGTCCTATGATTATACTGGGACTATTAAATTCTGGACAGCTTTACTGTGTAACTGAAAAAAATGTTCTTGGTTAGTTGAGCTTTATAGCTCAAGCCTATAAATCCTAACACTCTGGGAGGCAGAGGCAGGTACACTGCCTGAGCTCAGGAGTTTGAGACCAGCCTGAGCAAGCGTGAGACCCCATCTCTAAAAATAGCCCAGTATTGGCTCAGAGCCTATAGCTCATCAGCTAGACACCGGCCACATACACTGGCACTGAAGAGTTCAAACCCGGCCTGGGCCTGCCAAACAATAATGACACCTACTACAACAACAACAAAATAGCTCATTGTGGGGGGCGCTGTACTCCCAGCTACTTGGGAGGCTGAGGCAAGAGAATCGCTTAAGCCCAAGAATTTGAGGTTGCTGTGAGCTGTGACTCCACAGTACTCTAGCAAGGGCGACATAGTGAGACTCTGTCTAAAAAAAAAGCCCAGTGTTTTGGTGGGCACCTACGGTCCCAACTACTTGGGAGGCTGAGGCAGGAGGATCACTTGAGCCCAAGAGTTTGAGGTTGTTGTGAGCTATGACGTCACAGCACTCTATCGAGGGAGACGAGTGAAACTCTGTCTCAAAAAAAAAAAAAAAATTTTTTTTTTTTTTTGCTTAAATCCAAATCATGTCTTCACTCTTTTTACACAGGGCAGATGAAGCTGGCTTTTCCATTCATGGCTTTTAGAGTTGAAAGTCTGGGCTATTTGTTATTGTAAATTTCTGGTTAGGAGCAGATCAGTAGTGACAGAAAATAAGTCAACAAATTGGGGACGAGCACTTAGTCCAAGCGAGGTCAGAGAGAGGAGGGTGGCAGTGTGGCGGCTGCCCTCACATACATGGGCTTAGTGGATGGGTGGAGGAACCCCACTAGGGAAATGGTTGTGTCTTCTGGAACTACAAAAGGGTGTTAAAGACCCAAGCTTTGCAATTCACTGAGACGCTACCTCCAGTTACTCACCTGCAGGGAACTCTAGGCAGTAGCCGCCCATCGGTGGTCGGAACTGTTTGACTAGAATGATACACTCATAATGAAGCGTTCTCTGCAACACAGGGATGACTGCTACACCTGTCACCAGGAAATGACACCAAGGACATCTGTAATGAAAGGTCAGTGATACCAGCAATTTCTTAGAGCAAGCTAACTAAAACCCCGTATTTAAAGAAATTTCCACATCCAAAATGTACCCTGTATTTGCCACTGGCCATAAGTTAAGTTTATCTCTGATACTGGCAGTTAGCCTTGGGAGCTAATCTCACTGAAAAACATAATTAAAGAAAAATAATCACACTTCTATGTTGTTTGAATGTTCTTTCTTTCTTTTTTTTTTGAGACAGAGCCTCAAGCTGTCCTCCTGGGTAGAGTGCTGTGGCATCACAGCTCACAGCAACCTCTAACTCCTGGACTCAAGCGAGTCTCCTGCCTCAGCCTCCCAAGTAGCTGGGACCACAGGCGCCTGCCACAACGCTCGGCTATTTTTTTTGGTTGCAGCCGTCATTGTTATTTTGGCGGGCCTGGGCTGGATTCAAACCCGCCACCTTAGGTGTATGGGCTGGTGCCTCAGCCACTTGAGCCACAGGCACCGAGCCTGAATGTTCTTTCTTAAAACGAAAAGCTCATTTAGTTGTCACAGTTTCTCAAAAATAAAATCAAAACTAAAATGAAACATTTCCCACAAGGTTTAGGACATAAAGTTTGATGGAACCATCTCTCACCATGCTAGGTTGTTGGTGAAGTTACCATGATCTACGTGCTCTTAGGTTTCCTTTAAGCAATAAAGCGAGTAGGTTCCACTGTTTGTGTATATGCCAGCTAAATGACTGTTTTAGGGTCTCCCAAGTTACTTGGCCTTAATCAAAACAAAGGAAAAACAAAAAACTACTGAGTTCTGAAAAACACAAACCACCCAGGAGGCGCAGCCAGCCTCCTAAAACCTTCTCCATCGGTTAAGAACGACAGCTGGAGCACAGTGCTGTTTGCTTTCAGTAAAAACAGAAACCCAAACAAAAGGGAAAAATAGTAAAGGCCTATTGCCCAACTTCCCCTAGACCACAGGTGATTTTCAGGATTGTTTCTGGGCTCTTTGCAGTCAAAGCATTCATGCCTGGAAGGGAAAGTGAACTGAATGAACATCTTTTCCTTATCAGCTGATAAAGCAAGTGGCCAACAAGCATAAGGATGTACCAAATAATTTTTCCAAACTAAAGGTTCTCACCTAGATCCTTTGAACAGAATATAAAGGACTTCATACCTAGACACAGTATATGGGTTCAAATTACACTGATTTATGCTTCGCTAGAAACATTAGTACACCTTCCCCGCAGAAACACTGTTCTGATAAAAAAACCAAAATAACAAAATATTGTTCTGAAATTTGATAAATAGAGGCAGAAGTTAGTTACATCGCACTGCAAAAACTAATAGAGGAGACTTAAAGATAAAAGATCATAATTGAAGATAAGTCTGCCACGAGGCCTTGACTACATTAACTCCCCATAATCACATCAGCTAACTTCCTTTCTGAAGAATTCTAATAGGTTTGTGGTCATACCATCAGCAGACTGTCCCTTCCTGGTCATACGCTTCACTGTTTCCCAGGTTCTGTTCAGGCAGAGAAGAAAAAAGTCATTAGTGCTAAAGAGGAGAATTTTCTTCGGTCTTCTAAGTACAACCAGAACTTCTTCAATGCATGCAATGCATGCAAATGAACTGGTAGTGTTGGTAAGGAGACTAATAGCTTCTGAAAATTACCAAAGAAAACCATCACCCCAACCCTCAGGGTGCCATCTAAATGGAAGCGTGCTGAGCACTCGAGCTCTGTAATTTGAATCACAGGTCTACGAGCAAGAAGCACAGCTGGTGATCACAGCTGGAAAGGCTGTTAAGCAGGTGTTGCAAACGGAGCGAGTAGAATCCCAGCCCCGTCTCTAAGAACAGAAGTTACTGCGCACTGTGTGAGCTACCGCCAGGATTATTTATGTAATTTTGATTTTTTAAATGCGATTTGAAGAAAGTAGCACATTCCCATTTATTAATCAAGGAATTATTAAACTGAGGTAAGCACTCTAACTTTGCAGGTGTGAGATCTTATCTAAGGGGAAAAATGGTCCCTGGAGGAAAAAGTTAAGGGAATTAACAGCAGATTCCTGCTCCCTTTTCTGGCTTTCCTCCTGATTAGCTATCTCTTTATGTTACCTAATTCGGTTTTTTTGGTAACATGTGTGCTATTCTACTTCCTAGGCACATTGGACAGAAGTGTATGGAAGACTCCGTTACTAAAACAATTAAGCACCTTAAACAGAAAGGGTACCAGAGGAAAGTTCCCCCTTCACCCTCTTATCCCTACAATGGAAAAAGCAGTGTGAAGAGAAGGGAGTGGAGAAGCAATTTTAGGATGGCTTCTAAAGGAAGCAAACATCACGGTGACTGGGATTAAAAGGGGTGAACATCCCAAGGGGAAGAGTTAAAGAACATGACTGAGGAATCAATTCTCTTGCTCATACTTTTTACCTGGTTATCCCTAAAATTTGGGCTTCCTGACATTTCTATCATCAACTTCAGATATTTAATCTGGCTTAAAAAAAAAAAAGAACTTTCTGTAAATTATACATCTTTTAGCACTGTACCCAAATTCTAAAGAGTAAATACCAAACAGACTACTCTGACAGCTCACAGCAGCCCAACATTCCTGTTAGTAGCAAGAAGCCAACCCAAACCGATGCTGATAATAACACAGGTTGCAAGAGACAGAACACCTTTTGGCATAGCTCACTGTGCTCCCTCTTAAGGTTAGTCCTAAAGACTGAAGGAGGAGGAGCTGGGGAAAGCACTGAAGGTCCCATCCCAAACACACTAGGAATAAGGGAAACAGAGAGAGTAGCGTCATCATGGTGCTTAAGGTAATACTCTAAGCAGTAATGAGCCATAAATAATGAGCAACAAAATAGAAATGCATTTTTAAGAAACATACTAGATCAAGAATGCCCTGGGAGAGCTCCAAAATCTTAAAGGGACTTAGAGACAGCAGACTGAGACAGAAAATCTAGGTCTCTATCAAAGCTACAATCTCCTGGAGACTGCTTTCTTTGTAAAACTTGGGAAGGAGTATTTTATCTCCTGAACCTCTTCTAGACTTAGAATTCTGCTTCCATGTACCATCCCATCCTTCAGTCTCTTTTGCTACAGGAAAGCCTGTTTTCCCTCTTCCCTCTCGTTCACCAACAGAAGAGGCAGGAGGGTAAGGAAGGATGAGGTCGGCATTATCTTGACATACTGCCAGCACACTTCATACTCCCAAACTAATTCCATAGCTCCGTGCACCAATGTGACGGTGGAACAAAGGATTTTCTAGCTGCTGTTGTATCCCTTACTCTGCCCTCCATCTGTGGGTTGTGCATCTGTGCATTCAACCAACTGTGGATCAAAAATATTTGGGAAAAACCCCACATCTGCACTGAACGTGTGGTTTTTCTTGTCATTTTTCCCTAAACAATACAACTGTTTACACAGCATTTGCATTGTAACAGCTACTGGAAGTATCCACAGAGGAATTAGAGTATCTGGGAGGATGTTCATAGGTTATATGCAGATAATATGCCATTTTGATCAGGGACTTGAGCATCTGTGGATTTTGAGATCTGTAGGGGGCCATGGAACCAATCTCCATGGATACTGAAGGATGAAGGTATATGACAAGTAGTCCTTATTTGAAATGCTTGGGACCAGAAGTGTCTCAGATTTGGGGTTTTGGAGTCTTTGCATTACTCTAGGGGTACCATGCAGGCCTATTTGACATTTTCAACTGTATTTTTGTATCACAGAGCAGAGGATGAGCAAAAAAAACCACAGCAAGTAATACATATAGGTCTTGGCCCCCGGAGGGGCACTGTGGCTTTGGCATATCCAGCCTATTCCTGTACCATTTTATCCCTGTGTGGGCACACTGGCATGGGTGAGTCTCCATATCATGTAAAAGGACCAGCTGTAACTGAAGGGGGCTGGGAGGTCTTTTTTCCCTGTGGACTCAGAACAGACTGTGTTGTATGCCTGTGTTTTGACTGCAACCCATCACATGAGGTCAGGTAGGGATTTTCCACCTGTGGCATCATGTGGGGACCCACTAAGTTTTAGGTTTTGAAGCACTTTGAACCGTGGATTTTCAGATTAGGAATGCTCAACCTGTACATACATGCTTTTATGTCAGGTAACAGATAACACATTTGATAAATGTACAAATCATGGTGCATTTCCTTCTAGAAAGGGCAAGAGCTTCTTCAAAGCTTGACATTCTGGTATGAAATATTAGTGCTTTGCATAAAACCTCTTTGAAGGCCGGGAGGAAGACCCAGGCTTGTGGGAATGGAGGTGAGCGTGCTGTAAATAGGCTGTACATTAACATGGTAGTTTGGGAGAGACGTCAGAGCCCATTTCCAAACTGCTGAAACAGACTATCCAGGAGTGAGTTAGACCGAGAAAAAGATTCTGATGCACATCCCTGATGGAGACAAGCTAGAAGGGAAAACGACTAGTGAAGAGAGGAGTAGGAGTTAAACACATATTCTTTAGGGTTAAAAACTGCATTTTGTGTTATAAACCCAGTTTTATAGGAAAGAGAACCCAATGCTATCTCTATAAATTGGGTTCCAATCTCTGTATATGTTTTTACAGATATAAAGACATTTGAACATCCTGTGCTCACTAAGGCTTGGGATGTGTCACACTCCTGCCTCCTGCTTCTCTCATACTCAGTTCTCCACGTCAAGTTCACCTGACACTTTACACGAGAGTCACAGCCTTCCACTGCGGCCTTGGATCATAGTGTGCACAGCTTTTTTAGTGGTGGGTTTTACTTTATTCTTAACTTTTTTTTTCCTGTTTTACTGGCAGAATCAGCCAGGTTTGTTGGGTTTTAATTCAACAGTGTTTCATGTATCTTATGTTTCCCTTAAGGCTCCAACACTGGGTCTTATGAAGGTTTCTGAGTTTAGTAAATACAATAGAAAGTTGTTCAGATTTCTGACAGGTCCATGTATTTTCACCTCGATGACAGATGTATTTCCTCACAACCACGTGTTCTCATTTGATCACTTAACAAATGGAGTTTTTGTATTAATGAATTTAAATCGTGTAATCTAGACACTGAATTAGTATGTGTTCTTACTAATTCTGTTTTATTCTCTTTTCTATTTCACTAAGTAAATACTTTATTTTAACACATTACTTTTTTCCTGATCGTTTATAAATATTAAAAGATTACTAAACAAAAACATCTGGAAAAGAGAAGAAAAAAGGTTAGTCACATAGCTTCTTTTTTTGGGGGGGGGGGCCGTATTTTTCTTTCTGATCTTTTCTTCTCCATTATTCTGCAGCATTTAAGAAGCATATATACACTTTTCTATTTTTTTTTTGGAGACAGTCTCAAGATGTCACCCTGGGTAGAGTGCTGTGATATTACAGCTCACGGCAACTTCCAACTCTCCAGCTTAAGCGATTCTCTTGCCTCAGCCTCCCAAGTAGCTGGAACTACAGGTGCCCAACACAACACCTGGCTATTTTTTTTGTTGCAGTTGTCATTGTTGTTTGGTGGGGCGGGGCTGGATTCGAACCCACCAGCTTGGTGTATGTGGCTAGCGCCCTAGCTGCTTGAGCCACAGGCGCTGACCCCACTTTTCTATTTTATTATCAACTTAACAACTTTTCCCACATCACTAGGTTGTCTTCATAATCTGCTTTTACAACTTGATCTAAGCCAAAAGATCAAGTCAAAACCAGCTTTTCAGATGGCTGCATAATTTTTACCGATACACATAACAATTAGTACCTTATTTTTAAGATATTTAGGCTACTTTCAATTTTTCTATTAAAATTTTGACGGGCATTTCTTATATATATATATAAATCTAACTCCAAATAATAGATAATTTCCTTAACGTATTCTCAGAGTGGGATTATTAGGTCTAAAGATATACTATCTTTATGCTTTTGACACATGTTGTGAAATAAGCTTTATAAAATATTTTTTTCCACCTTACATTTTTATGAGGCAGGCATATAAATTTTACCTTGAAATCAGCAATGTTTTTATTTTCTATTTTGTTCTTCTAATTTGGAGATTAAAATAAAAATTGGCCTATGAGAAGAAAGCAACACCAACCATATATGATTCTGCCATCTTACAGCTTAAATCAGGCTTGGCCTAAAAGTTTTAGGTCTGTGCTAGTCTATGTAGGGAAGATGATATTAAAATACATTTCTGATTAGTTACTGGAACATATTTACAACCCAATTTAATTCAGAGATTATAAATGATCCAAATAGTTTAACAATGGTAAAACAGCTAAATTAGATTCTTTATTTAAAATTATTTACAAAAAAAGGAAAACACCAACATTTATTCCAAACACTCAACAGACACCCTGAGAACCCAAATACCGACATTTTACAAGAGAAAAAAAATGTTTACCTAGTTTTACCAGTAGGATCCATGTAAGTTGTTTTTTCAAGCTTGACCCATTTTCCTTCTGAAATTAACTAAAAGGATATCAGATAATAAGTTGGGAAACTTTCAAACCAAGTTGTTTTTTATCTAAAAGGGTTTTTATCTCCTTCCAAATTGTCTCTATATAGCCCTCCCAATAATCAATCATGTTTCCCTCCCAATAATTTGCGGGTAAGTTTTCAGTTCAGAGGAGGTATTCAAAGTTGTTTTTCTGCTTCTTTTTGGAGTTTTTGAGGTCGTACTAAGAAGTGAAAAGAAAAGACAGCCTATAAACTCCTGGGTGTGCGAGGAGCAGGGGTAAGTGGAGGGGTGTGCTCCGGGGGGAGAGGTCTTCTGGTTGCTCCCTATGTCCTGCTCCTTGATCTAAGTGTTAGTCTCGCAGGTACCGTTAGCATGTACAAAATTCATCAGTGTGGTTTTCCTGCCATCCATCATTACACATTGGAAAAGCTAACTCGGGCAGTGGGAAACCAGGTCAATGACTAGGTTTCCTATCAGATACATGGCTTTCCCACCCGACTCTGAGACGGGCACCCAGAATTGTTCTGCCTAGACATTGAGGGGTTTTAGTTCCCAGGACTAACTTACCTATGGCACTATACTGAACTGAGAGGAAAGTTTCACTGTGTACATAAAGCAGTAGCCTTTTTCTTACTATCCTATCTTTCACTTCTTGCCAGCAGCAACCTAATAATTATCAGCAGATCTGTTCACAAACAACATGGAAAGATTTTAAATCACAAAGAATTCCAGAAAAGTGTCAAGATCAGAGTTCGGAGATGAAGGGTTTAAAACTTATCCAATGCCATGGTTCCTGCAAGAAGAGACTTTTAAAGCTAAATTGAATGAAACAAAGACACACATTGGTTCTAGAACTGATTGGAATTTAGACTACAATTAACAACTTAGGTTTTTACTGTTCTTATATATGTTAAGACCACAACCAGCCAAGATGTAATAATAAATACGAAATTTTTAAGTCCTAAAATCCACATAAAATGTATTCTTTTATTCAGGGAAAAAGATTAAGAACTCTTCTGTTAGGAGCAAAACCCATTTGCACAGGTTTGATTTTGATTTCACTAACGCATATAATTAATCGTTATATGAGGATATACTTTGCTCCCACATGAGAGCAAAATGTGAGCCCAGAAAAGGGAGTAGGAAAAATCCCTAAAAACTGTCTTCAAGAACAAAAAACAATCATCTCACAAAAGATAGCCTAGGTATTTCTTTGAAACTCAGATTTATGTGGGGAGGGGGAAGAGAAAAATGCAAATAAGTTATACCTCCTCTGAAATAATGCACTGTCTGCCATTCTGAGCAGAATCTGTTGCTTCTTGGTTTTCCATTTTCAAACCAATCAGTTCTTATTGTCAGTCCTCAGGTGAGATGTTCACGCTGCAAGATAAGGAGATTTGTTTAACATTTGTCCATCGGCCCCTAGGCAAAGTACTCAAATGGCAAAAACTGTTTTGTTTTTTTTTTGAGATGGAGCCTCAAGCTATCCCCCTGGGTAGAGTGCCATGGCATCACACTCACAGCAACCTCCAACTCCTGGGCTCAAGCGAGTCTCCTGCCTCAG